CACACACACACACACACACACACACGATAACCCCTCCTCCTGCCTCCATGCTTCCCACATTCTCTCAGCATGAAGGGAAGACTCTCTCAAGCTTGTAATTACAGCGATAAATCGCCCACAGCACACGCCACACACTGTAGTCTCATCAACACTCACCAACACACACCCATAGGGAGCCACTAAGCATTGTCAAACTGCATAAAAATAAACTGCACAGCACAGCCTTTGCCGAGCCTAGTTAGCAGGAAAAAAATTTAAAATAAAACAGACATTGCTTCTTTGTGCCCTTGGTAAATGGTCCTAGGTCAGCATGTCCTGTGAAACACCTCGCTAATGAATTCCAGTTAAACAAAATAGTCAATACTCTGTCCTTTGTTGACATTCGGTCAGAAGGGAGGGTTTCCAAAAACCTGGCGTGACTGAGAGAGTTAATGAAAGTTAAGAAAGTGAAGTTACCTCTATTCAAAACAACAAAAGAACATTTATAATGAAGCTTTTGGTTGTACACACAAAAAAGTGTGAAAATCCTCGCTTGTTACGATGTTGGCAACACAGTGACATCTTAACAAATATTAGATGGATGAGCCCTGGGGGTGAGGTTAATGAAAATGGACCTCCTGAAGCGTTGGACACTGAGGTGTCAGAAGTCAAAAGAGGAGAGGGAGGAGGAGGAAAGAAACAGATGAGGAGACAGGTGTAGCAATAAAAAAGGGCAGAGGAGTAAATAGTAGATTACACTGAGGAGAGAGGCGTGCTGAAAACGCTGATTGATTGGACAGGCAGGCATCCTACCTCATGATATATTGATGGTTTGGACAGCGATGGGATTGTGAAGGACAGGAGCTTGCTGTTGCCGTCTTTGTCGACAATCTCCTGCAAAACCAGAGAGTGAGGAAGAGACAGAGAAGCTGTGTCATACAGGGAACATGGAAAAAAAGGCCTGGTGCACAACGCCCAGTTATACTACAATTTTTATTTATTTATCTTAAACAGGCTTAGCACTTTCCTGTGGAGATAGGTGAAAACATTTAGCAGAATAATGTAAACAACTGCTCTACAATCCACTCTCCTTCTCACTGCTGGTACATGTTATTGACTTTGACAGATGAAAGTCACTGCCAGTGCACTAACCACTCAATTCCAATTTCACACTGCGATACATAACAGAGATGAACGCGTCTCTGAGAATGATGGCATTTTTATAAAATGCAATGCCTGATTATCTCCACGCATTACAACTGCAGTGAAATAATAATAATAATAATAATAATAATAATCAGTGCATTGACTGAGATATACAGCTGAGCACTTTACATTTGGCAGAAAGTACTTGTTATTCCTACTTTGCTCTGTGAACCAATTATGTGCTGCTGAGGGGGACTTTTTTACTCTAATTTAAGGCAGCGGTGGAGGTTTTATTATATATATCATTAACAACAATATAATAGATAATGCTTGAGCTGCGACTGTTTTTCTTTTTTATAAACATGAGCTGCTCTAAGTGTCCAGGATGTTTTTGTTTCTAAGCTGTGTGTGGCTACTGCGAGTAAATGAATTAGACAAAAAAAAAAATCTGTTAATCCATTCCCATGTCCAAGCATCACATAATCTAGGTTTTGAAATGTGGTCCCAAAAGGGCTTTTATCTGCCATTCTCCCTGACAGTCAGCGTACTATTGGTTCAGGCCTTGTCCTGCCCTTCAGTGGCTACAGGGTATCTCTGAATATCTGATGGGACTGTTGAGAGCAAAGCTGTTTATCAGGGCTTGGTTGGCAAAGACTATAGGCAAGAAGAGAAGGCTATGAGCATGTACAGTCTGTGTGTGTGTGTGTGTGGTGGTGGTATAGACATGGAGGAATAAATTATGCATGGATATACCTTTAGCCGCACCAGCTGACATGGAGCTCTTTCTATTGATATCTCGGGCTCTTAGCCCATTTCCCCAAGGGTGTTTCCTGATGATAGAATCTATCCATTAACTGGGCTTTTCCCTGCAGATTGTCTTTCTTGTCAACAGACAAGCAACCTCACTAAAGCTGCAACTGTGTTTGTCTAAATATATAATCGTTTTTCCCCCACATTAAATAGTTTTAAAACTCCAGGAGCCACACAGCCCTCTTCATGGTTGTCAAAATATTAGCTATGGTTCTGAGAAAAGTATTCCTTCTATCTTACAACATAATATCAACCTACTGTATATTCATCCGTACGGAAGAATACAGTTCTTTAACTATGACACCAGTACACATGAATCATAGGTGGAATGATATAGGAACAGTTGATAAGCCTTCTTTGCCAACTGACAACAATAAAACAGCCACACCATCCCAGTAAGCAAACAGGCTTGTGTTTGAAGAGTTAACGTCAGATGGAAGAATTAGTGTGTGTGACCATCCCTGCTGCTCTTTCATCACCATTATGATAGTACTAACAACAGCAGTCTTTCAAGCTGTACAAGTCTCTCTAAAAGACACTTTACTTGAAGGATGATTCTAATCATTGGCTCCGTTTATACCTGATCAACATGCACCTTGGTCATCTGATCACAAGTGGACAGCTCTAAGTACGTCAGTTCTAAAGTGACAATACCAATGAGTATGTACTTCCTCTAACATGGAGAACTTCAGTTGAGTAGGCAGTCCAACAGTGGGACGCAGGACACATTCACCCACAAATCTTCAAATGTGGTCTGAGCATTTGAATCCCCATGTGGCTTGGGTGCATCAACATCTGCATTTAGAGCTGGCCATTTGAAAACACATTAATACCAGGTATGAACAGGCCCTAAGTTTCTCTGTGGGACAATTCTCCATTAGAATAGAGACTATATTACCCGTTTCCTTATTCTAGGCCTTTTTGGTTTTCTGCAGCTCTGTGACTACTCTCCCTCCTAAAATAGATACAAACTGGCACAAAAAACATATGTCATAGCTAGCATATTTAATATTCACGGAGAAAAAACTATGTCTTCTAAAAGGTCATGTCCCCACCAGGTTATAGATGCCCAAGAGGAGCGCCTCAATGCAGCCATTGCTCTGACGATCCCTGCTGGCCGTGACCCGCAGATATACCCACACCAGCTCAGGCAGGAACTGCAGAGTGAAGCGTCGCAGGCGGTCTTCAGAGCTCCGGTACAGCTCAAACAGCTGGTGGCACACCGGCTCCAGCAGCTGGTTAGGAGGAGGAAACGCATGAATGCAAATTAGCACAGGTCTGACATCGTACAAGAGTACACACTATGGTGGGGCTGGATCCAAAGCCAGCTGACATTGGGCAAGAAGAGTCATCTAGGGACGAAATACAGAGACACACAACCAGTCATGCTCACATTCACATCTACAGACAATTTAAAGTCTATCACCAAGCTGCATGTCTTTGTAATGAGACAGGAAGTGCCTGGAAATTTGAAAATTAAAAAGTCTCTATGATCACCTTAAGTAAAGCCATTTATTTCAAATTGATCGAATTAACATAAATATATGCCTATGGTCATAAAAAAAAAAAAGATATGATTCTCAGAAAGAATCTTGTTTTCACTCATTTGCAAAACTTTAAGTCTCAGAGGGAACCTGTTGTAGCGAGAAGCCTCAGACAGTATCTCTGCTTCACAGCTCTCATTTCAAAGCATGAATGGATGTCATCCTGATTATAACGGGGCGGGCGGACTGTAGGGAAGAAAGCTTTTCTGCTGCTCAGTAGTGGGAGGTGCGCAGGAGCAGAGGGGATAAATCACGACAATGAAAGTCTGCTCAAATGTAGCCTCAGTGGAGCCGGCTGAGCCAGTGTGTTTATACTGTGCAGGGGTCAGTGAAGTGAGTGCCCGCACAGCAGTACTCTGGATTGTGTGTTGTACTGTGGTTGACCCTGAAATAAGCGGCAACTCATTTAATGAACTTGGCAAGACATTTGATCCTCCATGTAATCAGCGTCTCACACACACACACACACACACACACACACACACACACACACACACACACACACACACA